TTTTAGTTCATCTTGAATTCGGAAGGCATTTTGGAATTTCAAGATATTTTCTTTGTTGAAATTTAGATGAGAAAGAAATTTCCTTTATCTCTTAATATGTACACTATCTTTGGCACAACTTTATTTTGATCATATTATCTTATTGTTTAATAAAAAAAAACCTTAGCTTGAATTTGATTTAGTATATAAAAAGCCCAATCAAACATATCTAAACTCAACTAAAAAAAAAAGCAAATTGAAATCTATTTAGTGATTATTAAATAAAGTGTAAAGAAGATATTGTGTGTGTTTGGATATGTTACTATTTGAAAATTATTTATATTTGTATTATAACAACGTCTTATATTTTTAATCATTTTTTTTCTTTACATATACCACATCGCAATAAGTAATTATTTTAGATAATATTTCAAATAATATTATTAAAAGTAACAAAGCTTATATTTAATGAAAGTTTAATTTTTGTTTTTGTTAAAACTTTTTTAACGCTTCTAACATTTTAGTATTACCCACTTGCCCCCTCGAAGAATAACACATTATGTCATATCCTTCCTTTTTTTTTTTCCTTCTTTTTCCCCTTCATTTCACAAGTCAAATGAGAAATGATCCATTTTGTACAACAAGATATAAGGGTTAAAATTGAAACACTAATGATATATTTTTTACCCAATTAATAATAAATACTTACACTAATTTTGGAATGGATGAAAAATGAAAATATGACACTTCAGTGAGATGAAAGGAGTATTTTCTTCTTGATTTTTTTTCCCCTCCATTCCACAAGTTAGAGGAGAAGTAATCCACTTCGAATCTTATTTGGGATCAAATTGCACAGTTTCGAAATTGAGGCATCAGAAAAGAAGTGGGCAATTTTTCATTCTACTTTATTGATTATACAGCGAAGATTGGCAAAGGCTGAGCCATCAGCGCGCAAGACGGTTGGAGAGTAAAATGCCTGTCAAACTCGAGTGCATGGTTTACAAGCTGCGACATATTATTCACAAAAAAAGAAAAGCAACGTGCCTCGTCTCGGCTTGTACAGGAAAATCCTGTGTAAAACTTCAGCAACTTTTAGCGATTCAACACCATTTCCACAGGCTGAAGCAACTTTGACCGCTCTCCATCGCTAATTAGTCAAAGGTCATCGTCCATCTGCCATTATCTATACTTTTGTGTCTTTTTTTTTTTTAGTAAAAAAGAGCTTTTTTTTCTTCTGTTCCTTTGGATCATTGTTTATGTATTTGAAAATTGGGAAAGAAAAAAGTTTTTAGGGTTTGTATTCTAACGATATTTCCTCAGGGTTTCAGCATACATTTGAGTGCTGGATGCTTGTTTGATGAATCAACATGATTGATTTAAGTTAGGTCGAGATATGCAAAACTAAAATGTTTGGGTGCGGTTACTTCATTTTAATTTCGTTTTCCTCATAATTAAAAATGCTAGCTTTACGAAATACTAAACAGTGTTAGCTTTGAATTTGGCGCTGAATGCTCCGGGATTTTTATTAGTTTTTATTGCGCTCTTGGGCAGCATAGCAGAGGATGCTTAGTAATGATTGAAAATTTCTGATTTGAACAACAAGCTTACTGAACAGAAGGAAGATAATAAGTTTAGAGTTGGCTATTGCATCCGAAAATCCAATAGGTTGCGCTGAACTTTGCTTTAACTGCAACTTAGTGTGGTGGAAAGATTTTGTCTGTTTTAAGTCAGTTTCAGAGGAAAACAACGAATTTGATGGAGGAGATATTGCATAAAATTTCTGGCATTATATTGGTGGATAGATGTTCATCATGATTTATTAATTGATTATCTTTTTCTGTGCTCTCCTTCAAAAAAATCTGTTCTTTTCAAACGAAATTACATGAAACGCCTTTAGAGCCTTTGAAACATGGATATAGTTATTCTACATGCTTTTTGTACACACTTGATGAACGACAACTAGCTGCTGCCTTGTTAACAATTAGGCCATGGTGTTATTTGTGCCTGACTGTTGCATGGTTGATGGATATGGCTGTTGAACATGCAAACGGTTTATCTGAACCAAAATGGTTTTGTATGATGGCTCGATTATTTTGGTTTGGTTTAAATCTTAATTTTGGGAGCATGTTTTCTTTCATTTTTCAGCTCCAGTGATGGAACCAAATACACACCCTCAGCACACACTTATGATTGAAGAAAATGCATCCCACAGCATGGAAGTTGATCCAAAAAGAGCAAGATTTCCATGCTGCATAGTTTGGACACCTCTTCCCTTGCTGTCATGGTTTATTCCCTTCGTTGGCCACCTAGGGATTTGTAGAGAAGATGGAGTTATCTTGGACTTTGCAGGGCCAAACTATGTTTGCGTGGATAACTTTGCATTTGGGGCACCCACATGCTATTTCCAAATAGGCAAAGACCAGGTATACCTCAGTATTAGTTTCAGGACTGAAATGTACTAATTGCAATAAACAGTGTTCTGTATGCTTTTGTCTCTCGTGAAATGGCAAGAACCACTTCTGATGCATCTCTTGTGGGAGCACCTCATGATGACACTGTCTATCGTACCTTTTAAGAGAATGACAGTGCTAAAGGGCCCTAAGCTCTGTAATCCCATCTGCAGTTTCTGACTCTTTAATACAGCTTTCCAAGTAGTGATTCAGCAACGTGGAGTGTTGCTAACTTTTGGTTGTTATTGAACATCTTCTAACTTTGTTTTGTACAAAATCATGGTTGCCAGTGTGGTTATACCCAGTACTCTGCTGCATATAGCAACGAAGATGGATATCAACATGATGAGCCTGGAAGAGGTGCATTGACATGGGACGAAACCTTGCAGAAGAGTACCCAAGAATATCAGCACCAATCTTACAACATTTTAACTTGCAATTGCCACTCGTTCGTAGCAAATTGTTTAAACAGACTCAAGTTTCGGGCTGGTGGGTGGAATGTGGTAAATCTGGCTATTTTTATGTTCTTAAATGGAAGATGGGTGAATAAATCATCTATTCTGAAGTCCTATCTACCATTTCTCATAGTTTTGGGTCTTGGAATCATCTTTGGAGGAGCAACTTTTCTCACTTATTTGGCAGTCTTTGTTATTCTTCTCATAGTTTGGTTTGTTGTTGGCACTTATTGCTTCAAGAAGCTAATTTACGTGTAGTTTTTTCTTTCATTATTATTCTTATTCTTTGTAATATCCTTGGTATTTGTGCTATTAGCCCCCTGTATGATCTTCTTTCATTTAACCGATGTAAGATTTGCTGTTTTGATGTTAGTGGATTTATTGGCTAACATAATGGTTGAATTAACTTCTTAACACAATTCTTTGTTTAGATCAGATATAGTTGTTTTAGTATTAACACATCTGTTTTGACATTGCTGTTCTGGTGCAAGAATACAAAACTATCAGATATTTGTACTCATGGTAAGCGAGTCTATTATACTGGTCAGTCAAGTCCTCCTCAAGAGAGGCAGGGTCTTTATTATGGATTGACACCTGGTGTTTTTATGGCACATATTCTGTATGAGTAGGTAGAAGCAAACCGCATTGGTACAGAGATTTGGACATGGTAGACAAAGGTGGCTTCTGATCTTAGAAGGCACATCCTATTGCTCCTTTCATCTTCTTTTTTCTTCAGCTTAGTATACAAATCTTGGCAATTCTTAAACCTTAGAAGAAGGGGCTTCTTTACCGTGTAAATTTTTAGAATCTGTCTTTTTTACTTGAACCTCGAGTTTCTCCAAACCATTCTAGCTTTTGCTAATTTTCGAGCATGTTCCAATATTCTTTGTGAGCCCATTGACGTTGAGGATTGTTTTTTTTTCCCTTTTTCCCCCACTTCTCAAGGACTAGACGTAGAGCGCGTGTCAATCAGAAGCCAATGAGCATTAGTGCATGGTATCTGCTTCTGCAGTTTCCTTCGCTGCAGCAGCGCTCCGGAAATTCCAGAAGGGGAAAAGCAGTGCAAGAGACAAACGCCGGACAAAATGACCCAAAAAAAAAAAAAAGAAAGTGAATATCCCCTTCATTTCTCTCAAAGTTCTGCAAAGAAAAGTATAGCACAATTTGTATTTTTACTTTTTCGAGGGGTTGCCAGTCGGCGCTGATGACATATAATTATTGCTATAGCATGATTATAGATGGAGCAACCCGTGGAAAGATTTCGGTATTGCATTTGCCTATGCCCTTTGTACGAACGAAGGATCACCATTGGGTAAGTTTCATTCGTCACTAAATGCCCGACGAGATGGCCCTGACCTGAAACAGCCACGCTGCCCTTTTCACAATTCCTGCTCTATTCCTTCGTCCGCATGGAGATGTGGTTGACAGCCCACTATAATTGAAGTGTTCGGGTTGGAATTGAATGGGCCATGAGACCACGAAAAAAGCTTCTAAACGAGGGGAGATTTTGTTCGCTTCTAGTCGAGTCAACCATTTTTGCAAGATGAAATCCTTCTGCTAAGTTGACCGACCAGTTGGAATGTCTTACCATTTCCTTGTTGTATTGTATAATAACACTCTGTAATAATAACAATGAAGTTGTTAATGTCTGCCCAATAACATTAAGGTACGCACTGAAAGTGAAAGAAGAACGGAACCAAGAAGCTAATATGAAAACAAGAATGTACTTGGACATGTCCGCAAAAGCTCGGAAGCATCTCTTCTTTTCTTCTTTTGCCCTTTTTTGTTTAGCTCGTGTTGGTGATAGAGAATCTTTACCAAAGCATCTCTTGGTATTAGTTGTAAACCAATAAAACATGTTCCTCAACTTTTGACGTTGTTCCAAATTTAACTAATGGTTCGCAAATACCCCATAGGAACAATGCACCAAGACCGTTCTTTTTTAGACCGACACTGCACGAGGACTTTTTGACTTTTTTTTTATAATGACAATGCACAAAGACGTTACAATCCAGAGATTGCTCGGTAATTTTAAAGATTTAATAATAATAGCGGGTTCAATTCTGTTGTTTGTATGTTCGTTTAATAAGTTAGCTTTTCTGCAGTGTTCAATGTTAGAATAGGAATAAAAGTAAGTGTACGTGATGACAAAAAAAAAAAAAAATTAATTAATTAAGAGGGTCTTGCCATGGAAAGATCCTCCTCGTCATACAATGACACATATCATCCTTAATTATGGCTGGCGCCAGATCAGAATCATCGAAATTTACCGTTTTGGAAATTTCTGGTAAATACGTAATTAGCCCGCAATGGCACAATCTCCGTCCACTCCTAACTCCCTACTTAACCGCGTAGCTTTTCTTGTTCGATAAGCATAAACAGAGATACAAGAGCGAGCGAGAGAGGAGTTTATTATTTTGCAGAAAAACACAAACCAAATTATCTTGTAGAAAGAAAGCGAGAAAGAAAACTATGGCGGAAGAAGGACAAGTGATTAGCTGCCACACTGTTGAAGCCTGGACCGAGCAGCTCCAGAAGGGGAACGACTCCAAAAAGCTGGTATTTTTTTATGTTTTCTTTTCTTTTTTTTTTCCCTGGAGTCAAGTTGAAATTTTCTTTTGTTTTTGGCAGATTTTTGTTCTCGGCTAAGAAATGATCAATGATTCTACATGGCTTGATTTCGATTTTATGCTCTGTAATTTTTTGTGATTTTTTTTTCTTTTCTGAGTTTTGTCTTTTGTCTCTAATTTGGTTTAGAATTACTGGTCCTCTTTTGCAATTTTGATTACTTTGTGGTTTCACTTGGATAGCGGATCAGATTTTGCATGCAGGGTTTAGATTGACTCCGATATATCTAATATTTAATCTGAAAAGGTACTAAGGTATGTTTTAATAAATTTTGTTCCCTTCGTCTCGGTAATTGTCGATGGCTGGTTGTTGTTGTTGTTATGCCCTTTTTTTTTTTTTTTTTCTTTCTTGGTACAAAATGTTATTATGCTGTGATATAGCTTATGTATAACAGCGATCATATTTCAGGGCTGGTTCAGTCCGTGTCTCGTGCTTTTAAGCCATAATTGATGATTAATTATATTCATAGTTTATGAGGCCTGAACGATTGGACTGGAATTTCATGCTGATTTTGATTTGGTAATGCTAAGATCCCTTTTTGTTTTTTTTGTTCAATTGTTCAACCAAAAAGAGCCGAGGGCTCATGAAATTTGACTAGTTTCTTATTTAGAGGTTGTTTAACCATGCAAAATTGTTGTTTCGAGGTCAGTACACGGATGAAGGGAAACCACAGAGTCTATTTGTTGTCTACCTCATAAAATAACTCGGAGTAAATATTGAATTTTCATTTGAGAATTGGAAAAAAAAACATGGAACTTTGTGTAACGGGACAACATCGCATGCCAATCTGCATATTGGAAAAGTTTCTTCAGTCCCTGCAATTCCAGTTTCCTTGACATACAGTGAGTGCTCTGAATGCAGATAGTCGTTGATTTTACCGCATCATGGTGTGGACCTTGTCGCTTCATTGCTCCATTCTTGGCTGAATTGGCAAAGAAGCTGCCCACTGTCACCTTCATAAAGGTGGATGTGGATGAGTTGAAGGTATAAGAAAAACATTTCACCATTATGTTTTGAACCTTATTCTTGCACAATTCATAGATGTGTTGTTAGGTCTGTAGTTCCTACAAAAGTACTTTTGGTTCAAGTCGCTGGATTAATGAGTATCAATTCTATATTTTCCTGTTGTAGTCTGTTGCTCAAGATTGGGCTGTGGAGGCAATGCCGACTTTCATGTTTCTGAAGGAAGGGAAAATTGTGGATAAGGTTGTTGGAGCAAACAAAGATCTGCTGCAGCAGAGTATTGCTAAGCACTTGAGTGCTGCTACTGCTACTGCCTCTGCCTAACGTGCTGTTCCTTCTCTTAGAGAGGCATTAGCCTTGGATGCGCTGCTAGATATGCGTCATCCTCTAAATTAGACGATGGGCTTTGCGTTTGTATTTTGCAAGTTATATATTATCTCAAAAAAATGGTTTTATATATATCTCATAAACAAGAAGCCTTGTTGTTACTCTTATTTTGGCCTGTTATGCTAATCGTTTGTCATCAGAACTAAGTTTCCTTTTATTTTTCCGAACTTGGTTTGTTGGGCAGATATGCCATGAGCCATAATTCATCCAGAGGCTTGTTATAAAACCCGAGATTGTAAAGACACAGTAGTAATATCCGACGGTCTTGAAGAGTTGGAACAGGGGAACAATTGGAAAGAGAACATTAAAGTCCATACTAGGATCCCTTCCTAACATGAACCTGTGTCGGGGTTAAACATTCCCCACCGTCACGAACAAGCTTAACAATTGCACTCGGCAAATGGCACGACACAGATGAAAAAGAAATCAGCTTCCTGGTTCCATTTCCGGCTAAAAGGGAAAGAGATCAGGGCTGAAATCCGTGGGAAACTCTCTTCGGAGTTCCTGGAAACTATGAACTTGCCTACCTAGAATTGACTACCTTAAGGGATGCTCCACAACCAACTACCAACTTTTCACAATTGATGCATGGGAAATCTCACCCTTAATGAAGAAAAATAAATCAATCTAACTATTAACACACTGTGTATGACTACTTATTCTCCTACTACTTTCTCACTCTCTTTTCCTCTTGCTGTGTAGCATGCATGTTAAGTTATAGGTGCATATTTGATCCTATTTTTGCTATGCACCTCATTAATTGTGATAAGTAAGTGTAGAACCCATGGGAGAACAGATTGCTTCGACTGACAACCGCTTCAACACCTTGGGGCATGGATCCTGCCCAAAGTTGCTATTCGAAATGGTCACAGAGCATCTTTGTCGCCCTAGGCACCTCTGCAAATATCAAGCAAGAAATAGGAGCCATGCAATCAATCAATGGGTACAAGCTTTTGTAGTGAAAAAATGGAAAAAAAACAAAAAAAATCAGAAGTACCCTCTCCATTGTGGTATATGATGTAGGAGCATGGCAAGTTCCCTGCTGGAAGCTTCCACAAGTTCCCATAGCAGTCCCAAAGCTCGCAAACTTGATTGAGGAAATAGATTGGCCAGGCGCACAATGTAGGTGAACTTTGGGTTTGTGAAATTCTTCTGATCTTCCATAACTCTCAATGTGCCAATTCTTAATGGTGGGGTGATATTCTGTGATATCTGCACAAACAGAGCTCACCGTTCGCTTCACAAGAGAAATTCTTGTGGGATCTCCGCCAAGCTCTTCAAAAAGCACCACTAGATTCTGCGTTGGTTTCAGCCAAGACCTAGGCACATGATACCTGGAAAACACCTCTTCACTGGTTAACAAAGTAGTGGTAGATTTACCTTTCAAATATCATGAAAGCTATGCATCCACTTCTTGCATGTGATAGTGGAGATATAATTACCATCGCTGAGTTGGTTGACCGCAGCCAAGTTGACACTTTGGAGGACGGAAAGTGCCAGTGTAACTGCATTCGTTACAATTACCGGTGGCATATGCAGTCCAATATCTTCCAAGACTCTGGCCATTAATCCACACTTGGCCTTTGCCCATACTGCTCATGTCCAAAGCCAATGGCTCATCACCGTCAGGTGCATTAAAATAAGCCTGCAATGGTGCAAAGAAATGATTTAGTTTATATGTTCTGCTTTCATGGGTGCTTAAACTTGTTCTGTGAATCGGCATCATACGTACCTTATGCCAAGTTAATGGTTGCTGCTTTTGTGCAATTAATGAACCCTGCATCCACTCTACAGAGGAAATTCCGGTTGGAGAAACAAGATTCATAGATTCTCCTTTAAGCCCCACCTGTTAAGGACAAATCCATGAGATGAAGTTTCCTCAACTAAAAGGAGCTGTTAAGAAGCAGAGATGTGAAATGCACAACCTGATAGGTCCATTTCGCCCATGACAAGTCCCATTTTCCTTGATCAAGCCCATGCAATGCCACAGGACCCAGTATCCCAGTGTTCCATGTCTCAAAATGTCCTCCCACATTCTACAAGAACAAAGAGATACTGCAATTGAGAGATGATACCATATTCCTATTGAAAGCAATATTTAGTTTGACATCATTTTTTCATTAGCTCCCTTTAGGCGATCAGTAGCTCTACACATTCAATTCAATCACATTGCTCTAACCATCCACTTACTGGTTTGTGCTAAGTGACATAACAAGAAGCAGCATTTTAGTCGTAGGTTACTGGAATCCTGAAGTCCATATTATCTTAGGCATGTGCCCTTACTTGGAGGCAATAGGTGGTTTAATGGATCACAATAAAGTAGCATCACCCATGCATGTCTAAGAATCAGCGGATCTTGTTTAAGGTAAAATATATCTTCCATTTAAGTTTGATGTAAGGACTTTAAAGACACCTCTATGTACTAAAAAGGAATTGGTCAACAAGCTATGCAATATAGAAGCCAAGACATACCAGGCCCACGTCAAGTAAAATTTCACAATTCAATAAGAGCTCAACTCATTACATTTTCTTTCTGGTTGTGGACTAGTATACCGATAATTTCTAACTCTCCAGATATATGCAAAATGCAACTTTAAAAGGCAAAGTCTGAAGCTTGTAATCCCACCCCAGAACTTATAGATGAATGATTCGTCCTTATACTTTTATCGGATTCATAGTCCATTACTTCATAAACTTCAGCCTTCAGCGATTGATACAAAGACATGGGCAGGAAATTTACAGCTTAAATCAGATACTTATCAAGCAACTATTTACCACAGGAAACAGTCTTTAAGCAAATGCTTCTGTTTCTGCTTCCTGGGGCATGAAACACCTGAAATCCAAGCAGTCAAAATGATAAAGGTGGCAAAAATAACTTACTGGCAGTCCAACAGCCACACTAAGCAGTGCTATTTTATTTGTTCCAGCATGAAGATTGACTTTTTCTTTAAACGTGAATCGCCTATTCTCCCTAGTCCCAAAAGCAGAACCTGCATAAATGAGCAATCATAGTCAGCTTCAACGAGGGCAACAACTTAGCATCAGCACATTCTGGAAACCAATTGACTGATGCTACGTACCTGAAGGTTGCCCATTGATGAAGACATGCAAAGTATGACCTGTTGATTCCACAATGAGAGTTGGGAGCTCTCCCCCACGCAGGAAGGACTCAGATGAACCAATGTTGACACTGCAGAAAAATAGAATAACCATCATCATGATCAAAGAACAGAATCTTGATACCTGGAGATACAATTCTTGCCAAGACAAGCAATTTTGTGGAATAATATATTCCTTTCTCAACTGATAAATAACCAAAAGAATCTTGAGCAAGGACATTAAGCTGATAGGTTTTGGACACGGCTAATTGGGAATTTTAAAGTCAATGCTTAACTACTGCAGATATTCAGTTTCTAGTATTTTATTACCTTACTGCTCACGTGATGATTCATGGTACAATAATATAGGAAGAGAATCATAGACAGTCAGACAGATGTGCTTAATTGCTTACCCAAAGAAATTATTTGTGAAAAAGCAATTAGAAGAGGGACCAGCAAAAACAGATATTGCATAAACTTGTGACAGAAAAGTAAGAGCAGCATAACAATTATATCTTGAATACCTGTAAAGCTAGTTCAGGTGTCAAGAATTAACTTACCTAGTAATGTACCAAAGATAATCAGTAGTGTCTCTAGTAACATTTATCTGCTCCAGAAGTCCAGGAGCAGTAAACGTTAAGCTGTCATCCGATGATGTCAAGTCCTCGTTAAATGTTTCCCATGAGAACATCTCACTATTGCTAGGTTGCATTTCCATGTGGGATGTTTGCACTCCAACCTGTGAATAGCGAAGCAGAAATGAGTTAATATCTCCATGCAGGCTATGTTTTATGAAGAATAAAAGGACACCAAACTTATGCATGATCTAAGATCAGTAAGCATATTTTACAGCATATGATGAAAGATCAAAATTGGTTATTCTCCATACTTTGGCCGTATTGAAAACCACATTTCTGCAATCAGGGAGGATGCTGATGGACCAAGGGGGCAAAGAGTAGTGCATGTTATTGAACATCACTCTTGCTGCAGAGTTCGTGTCGTAGTTTGCAAGAAAAGCTGCACAATCTCCTGCTTCTGAAGAGAATACATGAGCCTGGAAAAACGAGTTTTCAGCAAAAATCATTCCAAAATGCAGAACTGCCTGAAGCAAATTACATGAGTGGAGAGTAGCAGAGTTTAAGTACCTGTTGAAGGTTTCCCAAAGAGGTAACAGTAGGATCTGCTGAAACTAAAGCTCGTTCAGATAGCTTGATAGCCCTATGAAGCTCTTTCAGATGACCATATTTTGGTTGCCTGATCAACCCTGTCAAGTTGAAAAGCCAATGATTCAGCTGAAAATCTTGCACTCAAACTTGTATGTTGCTACATATGAAGAACATTCATAAATAGGATATCAAAGCCACGGCACTGTGGTCAAGTCGCTTATTGTCTACTGCATGCTAATACCTAGTGGCTCATATCATTTACATCACCCGTTTCCACTCTTAAAACAATGTTGACTATTTTTCACTCATAGATAGTGTTACCCTGGGAAACAGACTAGGGTTATTTAAGAATTAAAGCAGCAGTCAGGAGGCACATCAAATGGAGCACCCTTAAGCCCAATAACATTATTAACAATGACACTGAGAAGTTGAATTTTCTGATGCATAGGACTAGAAAATTTACGAAAACAGTAGCAAGGACATAGAAGTTAATATTTCTCATGCTCACCATATTCATCAAGTGGAGCATCATAATCATAGCTTGTTGCGATGAATGGGCCTCCAGCAGACCTTCCAAAATTAGTACCTCCATGGTACTGTACCACATTGAAACAAAAACTTTATTATTTAGAGTTTCGATGTCTTGCCACTAAAAGATACGACAAAGGAGATTTTGTCACAGCCTCTAATGAGTTAATAACATGACCAACCATGTAATAATTGAGAAATGATCCACCCTTTTGTATGAACCGGGCTACTGCAAATGCCAAATCTTGAACAGGCCTCTGGTGAACTGGTCCTCCAAACTCTGTAAACCTTGTGTATCATTTAAAAGACAAGTCAATGTGGGCTAAATTTTTGTTCATTGGAATCAG